GTCAAATTCTCCAAGCCCTCTTTCTCTGCCTTAGAAATTCTAAAATTTCGACGTTGCTCACGTGTTCAGTTCATGGTATTCTTAGTATCCTTCAGTAGAATTAGATTTTTGTTGCCTCAATTTTCATCTTCATCTGTGAAGAAATGGTTGAACATTCACTGCCATATAGTAGGACTGATATTTTATAGCAGTTCAGTACCCTTTTCTTTGTTTGCGATGTAATTTTCCTGTTACTTTGGTTATCTTTTGGAAAGGCATCTTTCGCTATCCCAATGTGTCACAATTTTCCATCCTATGTTAAAACACTTCATAGATATTTAAATTTTTGATATTTTAAATTTTAATTTCTTTTATCTCTAATTTGTAATTCAAATATTAAGCTGTTTCTTTCACTGATAACCATACATTCTATCATCTTACAGTAGATGATTAGTCCTTTCTTCACGCTTTCCTATGCTACCTTTTGTAGGTGTTCCTGTATATTCCTTTCTGCGCCTTCTATCATCTGGATATCTAATGCTGTTTAGGTTTTGGCCGCCAATAATGAATCCTGTTAGGATTTCTAGCCCTCTCAGCATCGTCTCACTCTAAAGGTTGAATAAGTCCGGTGTGACGACACACCCTTGTCTTATGCCCCTTTCTATTTTATATATGTGCTGAATTCATTTTCGATCCGCATGCAGGCGGTTTGCTCCCGCTATAAGTTCTGGATTATTGTAAAATCCTTCCGAAATAAATCAAGCTTACCTAACAGTTCAAACAGTTACTTTGTGACGTCAAACGTTTTTGCGTAATCATTCTTTTGAATCAGTATCGTCGATTTCTTTCTCTATCATTTATCATTCAAACATTTTAAACAACATTTGCCGATTATTTTATTCTTTTATCCTTTTTTTTTATTTATTGATTGTAGTAACGTAAGATTTTTATGGATGAAGACGTATTTTCAAATTTTTAAGAAAAGCAAAAAGTAAATAATTCAAATAATCATGAAGCTTCATCTCAGAGATATAGAGGCCGAAACGTTGTGAATAAGGTAATGAAGATGATGATAACAGCCCGAGTAATGTAAATAATGGAAGTAATCATGAAGCCTCATCTCAGAGATATAGAGGCCGAAACGTTGTAAAGTCGTAATGCTATTTTGTTTATTTTTTTTTTACTATTGTTTACTATTTACTTATATCAGAATAGTCAATTTCTTCCCGTTACTTATCTTTCGAATATTTTAACAACAATAACATAAAATGTACTCATAAAATTTTATACTTTTATTCTTTTCTTATTTATTGATTAATATTAGGTTGTCCCAAAAGTTCGTAAACACTTGCGAAAAATTGAATTTTTATGCAACACAATCCAGCAGAATCGAGACAAGCGATGGGTTCAGAAAGGGCAAGAGACACCGTCGGTTCCAAAACAAGATCGATTCGGCAAGAAAGTCATGTTGTGCGTGTGGTGGAACTTTGAAGGAATCGTGCATTTTGAGTTGGTTCCGAATGGTCGTGCCATCAGTGCCGAACTTTACTGTCAGCAACTGGAGCGGGTCTACGAAAAGTTGAAGCAAAAGTACCCGGCTCTGATCAACCGAAAGCGCGCTTTTGATGCAGCAGGACAATGCCAAGCCACACCGCCAGGAAGACCAAAGACAAGTTTGAAGAACTGGACGGCGTTGAGGTTCTGCCATATCCAGCCTACAGTCCTGACTGTGCTCCATCAGATTACGGCCTTTTCCGCTCAATGCAACACTTTCTGAAGGACTGCCGATTCGACTCGTTTGATGAAGTCGAGGAAGCGTGTCAAGAATTCTTTGATTCGAAGCCTGCTGAATGGTACTTTCACCAGATCCGAAAGCTTGCAGATCGATGGCAGAAAGTCGTGGAAAATGATGGTCTTTATTCTGAGGAATAATTTTTGTTGTTTTTGTTATGACTTGGCGAGTAAAATTTCAATTTTTGCAAGTGTTTACGAACTTTTGGGACAACCTAATATAATATTAATAAGTGTTACATTTGATAACGAACTGTTTAATCCTACGCCCAGTGTAGTATATATATATATATATATATATATATATATATATATATATATATATATGTTTATGCGGGTATGTTTTTCTGTGCGTACCTCTGATTGTCGTTGCTTGTCGCGATAGAGGTGCTTGCGTGGTCCAATGACTTCGAAGACGAAGACCCAGACAAAGCGCGAACAACCCCCAAAGGTCCCAACGGCGGAACAAGCGGATGATGATTAAAAAAGAGCTCAACGGTTGTACCAGCGGATGAAGAGGGCTACGCATTATGGACATTCTACAGAAGGCGCTACTCGAAATTATAACTGAATCAGGGGCATTCCGTTGAAGTTTCATAGATTCTGCATGTCTCATATGTGCCGCAGAGGAAGATCATGAAATAAGGTGTGTCCAGCTTAGACAAATAACACCATCGGCACTTTCTCCTACTCTGGTTTTCTTTCACTTCCAACCAACTGATGCAAAGCCAAACGGCGATAGAGAATGGATGACGGTAGCAGGTTTTGGTGAAACTGGAAGCTTCTAGTTCTGAAACTGCTCGTAGGCAGCGAATTTAGTTATCAACGCCATCATCATACAGGATGGAACCAGCAAAGAAGAAATTACATTCTTGGATACGAAATAAAGCCGTCGGCATCCATTTGCATTTGTATTACTCTTTCTTATATAATTCTGGGTATAAATGTGGCATTACTTCACCATTTGGAATTCAGCAAAATGCTTTTCGTAAATTAGACGGCTAGCGTCATATTTACTCTGCTATTTGATCCATAGATTGGGAAGATGAGACGATTTTATACTGTTCCTGAAAGCATTCTCCAACAACTACTGAACTGTATCTAATTTAGAAGAAAAATATCTCCTCAACGGAGAGTCATCGAAAAACTAACTTACGAAAAGCTGGTGTATTTTGAAGGTAAAAGAAATATATCATTGAATAGAGAGATAAGCTTTAACTTTTCTCTTTATGCTACGATAGAATATACCTGAAAAATCTATTTTTTTGAACGAGTGGCAATTGTCCCACGGACATTAGTGTGACACATAGAAAGCGTTTGGTTTAATATCAGTAATATGACCCTGGTTCTCATTTTCGTCCACCCTCCTTATTCGGCGACGGATGCTTTCACGTTGGTAAATTGAACTAAAATTTTTTCTTAATGTCTGTTATCTTAAATTACCGTCCTTCATATATATTTTTCTTTTTTAACATTTTTTTCTGTTTAACTCCTAACGTTGTTGTTGGGGTTGTTGTTATCACGGCTCCCACTCACTTTATCTTCCACTTCTCTCTCTTTCTCTCCGATATTTTTTGTTCCCGTCAGTGGGATATGTTTCAATACTTACGTGCAGTCTAGCTTAAGATTTTACATTTAGAGTTCAGCTACAACAAGTGTGTGTGTGTGTGTGTGTGTGTGTGAGAGAGAGAGAGAGAGAGAGAGGGGGGAGAGAATGAGAGAGAGTGCGAAAGAAAGACAGCGAGAGAGGGAGAGAAAGTGAGAGAGAGAGAGCAAGTATATATATATATTATTTTTAATTTGATACAGGTTTTAAATTCGTATTTCGTTTTACCTGCTATAAAGTAAACATTATTTTATGATTGTTTTCGTCTCTACACACAGAAACACACACACACAAACACACACACACACACACGCGCGCGCACGCACACACACACACTCATTATATTGAATAGGACTCAATACAAATTAAATAGTAGAACAATATTCTTTATTTTCTGTTACATTGGAACATGTATAAAATCGCTACAAAAATGCATTCATGTTTCGATGTATATTATCACATCTCATCAGGCGGTAGTAAAATATGTAATATCATATAATAAATTATATATATATATATATATATATATATATGAAAATTTCTCAGGGTTAACCTGTACAAAAGACAATATTTATTAATATAAGAAACAAAGTAATTAATAATAACAAGATAATAAGGACATTTTGTTTTTGTTATTATTAGTTACTTTGTTTAAATAAATTCATTTCATTTTTTGCCTTGAGAGAGGCCACATTGGACAAAATGCGTCGGCAACTATTACAATTTTCCTATATATTTTATATATACTTCGACATGAGAACAATAGACAAAAACTAAAAATACTTGAAGCATTATACATCAAACAGTTAAAACCCAACCTAAACAAAATCAATTATGGCATGTCTACAAATATTCTTAAATGTCTATAATTTCTATAATTGGTAACAGAAGCCATTGGTTTATACCAACGGCTTTCCTTATTTCATTCTCCAATTCACTCTCGTGTAGTCATGTGTGACGTCATGAGATGCGGTGCGATTTTCGCTTCTAGCGTCTTATATGCGCGTGTTCATCGTTGCTTAGTGATCCACTATGTAAACTAAACAATGACAGACTATCATCACTGCCGTGTCCGTATATTGTTTGATATGTTTGTAATTACATCTTTGATAATGGCTTGAGTAAGCCGAAAGCTTAGCTTATATTAAAAAAATAATGGATAAATATTGTGAATTTCTTTTTTCGGTTAATGATAATGTTATCAAACTTATCAGAAGATACGAAAAAAATTTTACATAAAATAAATAGACAACACTTGTCTATATTATTTATTTAATGAAACGTATAAATATATATATATATATATATATATATATATATATATATATATATATATATATATATAGAGAGAGAGAGAGAGAGAGGACAGTGAAGTAATGGATAGCGGCTTGGATTGAAGGATCGGAGAGCTGTGTTCGTATTCCATTCGAATCCATTACATTTACTTACATGCTAATACCCTTGGGAGGTGTGAATTCTCCTTTTCTCCTACCAGCTATGGGTAAATAGCAGGACAGACTGGGTTCTATAGCCTTTGATGGCAACTGGTCTAGGAGAAGGATAACTCAAATTCAAAACCTGCGGAGCGTCGTTTGGGGACCTTGTGGCACGTAAGTTACTTTAGACGGTTCGGCCACAGAGAGTTCATATCTATCTATCTATCTATCTATCTATCTATCTATATGCATGCTTGAACTGAGAATTCGACGTATGAGGGTCAAGCAGATCAGTTCCTAGGAAAGTTGCCCGACAACAGCACAGTGGTGAAGGTTTCGTGCAGGATCATCCACACTTTTTGAAGGGCCGAATACAGAGACCTGGTGCACTACTGTGCTGGTCAAATTTTCTGCTTCCGGACAGAGAGGCTCCCCAGACGAGGCTATGTCGAAGGGCATAGCCCCGTCTCGGGAAACAGCTACCCGACACCGTTTACATGTGGAATTTTTGGTCGAGCCTACTGGCTTGGATACCCCACATTAAATTCGGTCTTGTGCCATATCTGACCGCGTGGGGTGGTTGGTAGACATACTTGCTTCGGGAATTCATAGCTTGCCAACCGATTCCCTGTCTTCAGTAGTCTATTCTCTTTTACAATAAATCTCTCTTTCTTTAATCTATGCCCGAATTGCTGTTCCTTACACTCGAGTACCATCTTTGTCTGTAACATTCTTTAAGGATACAATACTCCTTCTCCGCTATCCTTTCACACAATCTCTTCAGGTAGATCTCTCGCTGCCTTCCCCTAACTCTATTGCACTAAATATATCCAGTGGGGATTAAGTTTTTCGAGTCTTTTTTCCTCATTATGTATCCAAGTAATTTCAGCTATCTCTTCCAGACGCAAAGCATTAGTTTTCTTTTTAATACGATTTTCTTTAAGACTTCCTTGAGAGGGCCAAGCAATAGTCGCAATCTTTTACTAAAAAGAGGGCGCAAAGGTCAAGTACGTCTTGATTGCCACAGGAAAGACGACGCTAAGGTGTTTGTTGAACGACGCCAAAAATTGATAAAGCTTTTCTCGTAAATGACGGTGAGCCACCAAAACATTATGGGTGATCTCTCGATAGTGCTCTTGGAGTTCCTCATTGCTTGGTGTCATAAAGAGAGATAATAGGTCGGTTCGTGCCCTGAAGATTGCAAGGTGGTCTGCGAGGAAAGGAGAAAGAAAAGAAATGTAGGCACATTCCTACTGGGGAAAAAAATCTTTCCCGAAAGATTATAAAAAATTCAGTCAGTTATGTGCCATGCATGATAAACGCTTAGGCGATCATGTATCTTTCGATACATGACTGACGAGGCAGATTTTTTCCTGCAGTAGGTTGCCATTTCTTTCTGCGGTAAACCAGTTGCCAGCCAAGACTATAGACCCTGGTTTGTCCTGCTATTTACTCCATAGCTGGAGGGATAAGAAGAGGATTTATACATTTCCCAAGGCTATTAGCACGTAATTGAATGTCATGGATTCAACTGGAATTTGAACTCGGCCCTCCGATTCCTCAATCCGAGCCGCTATCTGTTACTCCACCGTGCCTCCTAAGTCAGTTATGTGCCATGCGTGATAGACGCTTAGGCGATCATGTATCTTTCGATACATGACTGACGAGGTAGATTTTTTTTACCGCAGTAGGCTGCCATTTCTTTATGCGGTAGATCAGTTGCCATCCAAGATTATAGAACACGGTTTGTTCTGCTATTTACCCATAGCTGCTGAGAGAAGAAGAGTTTTCATACCTTTCCCAAGGGTATTAGCACATAAGTGAATGTAATGAATTCGACTGGAATTCGAACTCGGCTCTCCGATTCCTCAATCCGAGCCGCTATCCATAGTCATTTCAAAATGATCACGCTTTTTCATGCCGAATATTAATTACTATTTGATCAGAGTTGTTACATTTAACATTTAGGGTTACATTTAACGCCTTCACAGAGACAGGATAAGTAAAATGTTTTTGTAATACGCTGACGGGTGTTGAATCCTGTTAATGATAACTTCAACCATATTAAATACTGTGAAGTATTTAATATGGTTGAAGTTATCGCTGACAGTTTTTTGTCGAGATTTGCAAACTCTACAATTCGTTCAATTTCGCAAAACTGGAAATCGAATAAGTTGATTTGTTTGGAAATATACTTTGACAAAGACCCTACTTCGTGTTCTAATAATTTCTTTAATTTAATTTTATTTTATAGGACTTCATCGTAAAAATATTTTTAAGAAAATTTATTTTTTTCCTTTTTAATAGCGAAAATTAAATTCTTAACATTTCTTACTCTTAAGCATGCATCATACAACTGGTCATGCGTATATATTTCTTTCTGGAGCTACATTCCAATTTTTTGAAACGTTTGGCCCTGTGATTTGTTTATAATTCTCACAAACGCAGAACCAACTGGAAACTGGATTCTTCTATATAAAGACTTAAAGAAAAGATATGCAAAAAAACAAAAAAAACAATAAAAAAAAAAACAAACAAACAAAAAACAAAAGCAGAACAATATTGCATTTTTATTAAATAAGTATTTGTTATTTTAATCATTAAATTGTTTTAGTGGAAGTATTTTGTATGCTAAATAATAAAACTTTAAATTTTTCCAAAAGATTTAATGAAAATTCATTGTACTAAGCTACGCACTCGAGGATAACCAAATGTACTTTGTACCTCCTTACCCGTTTGCACCTCTTCTCCAAATTTGGTTTCAATTGGTCAATGTATGGCTATTTTAGAGGGTGTGAGGGACAGACGGACTAATGGAAATTACGGGATTTTATATATAGATAAATACATAAACATAGAACACTAATTCTACTTAAGCCTAACAAACACTCATTCTGCTTAGAGATGTAGAGGCCGAAACGTTGTGAATATGGCAATGAAGATGATGATAACAGTCCAAGTAATGTAAATAATGCAAGTAATCATAATACCTCATCTCTGAGATATAGAGGCCGAAACGTTGTGAATAAGGCAATGAAGATGAGGATAAAAATCAAAATAATGAAAATAATGTAAGTAATCATAATACTTCATCTCAGAGATATAGAGACAGAAACGTTGTGAATATAGCAATGAAGATGAGGATAACAGTCCGAATAATGGAAATAATGCAAGTAATCATGAAGCCTCATCTCAGAGACATAGATTATTATTTTTATTACTGTTATTATTATTAACAACCCAGCTTCTGTAAGGCCAACATCGGCAAAAAAATGGAAGGTTAGAGATATAAAAAGGCGTACGGGCAACATTCAGAAAACAGGTATAAACGAAATAATTGAATTAGAAAATCGTATAAGTCAGAGCAATAGGCACATTGTACACAAGTATATTTATCAGCTGCCAGTATAAGCCAAATGTATTTTGATCTTCTTTCTGAAGAAGTCTAAAGTCTTGGCATTGACTGCCGAGAGAGTGAGTATTTCACTCATTCACGACTCGATGTGAAAAATAATAGACGATAGAGCGGAGATATCCTCTGGTGAATTTATACAGGCTTCGAGGAAAATATTTCTCGAAACCTAGGTCATCAATTGAATTTACAATTCTAAATGTCTTTAATAAATCAAAACTAATAAGTTCTAAAATATCATATTTATAGGATTTGTGTAAAATCTATGCAAATATAATCATAAATACTACACGTTTTAAAAAAATTCTTCCTTTTTTTAAAATTATATTTATAGGATTTGCGTAAAATCCAAGCGAATATAATCATAAATACTACACGTTTAAAAAAATTCTTCCTTTTTTTAAAATTATATTTATAGGATTTGCGTAAAATCCAAGCGAATATAATCATAAATGCTACACGTTTAAAAAAATAAATTTCTTGCTATTTTTTTAATATATTTATAGGATTTGCATAAAATCCAAGCGAATATAATCATAAATACTACACGTTTAAAAAAAAAATTCTTTCATTTTTACCCGTTTGGCGCGTATGTTCATCGGACCTTTTCTTGTTATTTTAGAATGAATGTGTACTATACAAAATACCTCAGCCGGAACTTGAAGAAGTTAATCCCGTTTTTTTAACCATTGAGCCAATTATCGTTCTAGAAGATTATCAGTAGAAGTAAATTTGATAGTGATTGTAATAGAAAAGGTCAGGTTAGAAACTTGTCCTAATTACCACGATATTTGAAACGATGGGGCGGGAGACGCCCCGCAGAAGACAGATCCTGGAAACATAGCTATGTGCGACAATTATAGGTCAATAATATACAAAGGTTGAACTAAAATCGATCGATATGCAAAGAGAATGAGGTAAAAGAGATAAAAGCTAATGACAGCGGAAGTACATCCATGGGGGGGGGGAATAAAAATATCGGGTGCATGCAATAATTTCCATAGGTTTTATTTAAAAATAAAGAAGCAAAAACAGTTTTATATTTTGCATTTAGTATCTACTTAGAAGAAGAGGATTTGAGACAGTATTAAAAGTTAATAAAATAAATAGAATTAAAGCGCTACCCAGTCGTAGGGACAATATTCACGTTAAAATGAAGAGATTTCGTGCAAACAGAGAAAAGACAACATTTTATAGCAATATAAAGATAGGCTCGTATTGTCGGCATCACGCTATGAGAGATTTGTATTTATAAGATTATCTATCTATCTATCTATCTATCTATTTATCTATCTATATTTTACAATATTCTTATCTATATATCTATCTATCTATCTATCTTTTACAATATTCTTATCTATCTACCTATCTATCTATTACAATATTCTTATCTATCTATCTATCTATCTATCTATCTATCTATCTATCTATCTATCTATTAGAATATTCTTATCTATCTATCTATCTATCTATCTATCTATCTATCTATCTATTACAATATTCTTATCTATCTATCTATCTATCTATCTATCTATCTATCTATCTATCTATCACTCCTGGGCACTCTATCACAACGCCCGTTTGCCATAAATGCCTCCTCCTCATCAAACCACTGAAAAACCAGCAAATAACATGCGTGTGTGTCTTCGCGCATGTGTATGTGTTCATGCGCACACACACACGCGCGCTCGCACACACACACACACACACACACACACATATATATATATATATATATATATACACGAATGTAATGAGAACGAAAATTGTTATGGTGTAGAACCATAGAAATATAACACGGACTCGGATATATATATATATATATATATATATATATATATATATATATCCTTTGTTTTCGTGTTATTATGTTTAAAGAAAGTTTACTTTTTGGTGCTGTGTTGCCATGTAGACTAAGTTCCATTTGTCATTCGTATCCATCTGTGACTAGTCTGTCTTTAACGTTTAACCTGTGTAATAGTGAGATAACTGAGAAGTGTTCCGCTTAACAATGGCGGTACATTTATACCGTGACCAGGCAGACGTGATTTTTACATATGGCTGCGTTAATGGTAATGGACACAAGTCTGCACGGCTGTATCCGATTGCTTTTCCAGACATTAGGCAGCCGAGTCATCCAACCTTTGCTACAGTTTATTGCCGCGTTGCTGAGACAGAATCCGTGGCACTACAGTCTACGGATCAAGGAAGACCGAGATCCGCTCGTACGCCTGACCACAAAGAACACATTCTACAGTCTGTGAATGAATTAAATGAATTTGAATTAATGCTGTGAACGTTAAAATTTGTATATTATTTTTATTGTGGGGACCTACCTACTAATGGACTCTTCCACCCCTATATAATATGCCAACCAATTCTGAGTAGAGGTAGTCAGCGAGTAAGAGTCACCAAGTAGATACATCGAGTGAGTGAATTGGTGAGTCATGACACCAGTGAGAGAAAGTACTCTCCAGTCCAAATTTACCTTTGTACTACGTTTCCGAGAATATACTATTTAAACTTATATCCGAGTCCGTGTTATCTTTCTATGGTTCTACACCATAACAATTTTCGTTCTCATTACATTCGTGTATATATATATATATATATATATATATATATATATATATATATATGTATGTATGTGTGTGTGTATATATATATTTGTGTATTTGGGCAGCAATCCTTTCATGCACATTTCATTGAATACGACAGACAAGGTGCTTTTATTTAGTTTTTTATACAATTTCTCATGCGATCTAATTTTTTTCATTTTCAAATGATAAATTATATAAAAACTGTCCCAATGTTTTAATTGTATTAAAAACTAAATAAAAGCACCTTGTCTGTCGTATTCAATGAAATGTGCATATATATATATATATATATATATATATATATATATATATATATATATCGAAACTTGCATAAAAGAGGGATTTCTACCCAAATACATAATATGTATCTGCACACACACACACACACACACACATATACATATATATATAAAGATATATATAAAATTATACAATATTATATATCGTTATATATCATATAAAGTGAATTACAATTAATGAGATCCAGTTTGTCATATCTTTATATATATATATATATATATATATATATATATATATGTATTGTGTATTTGGGCAACAATCATTCTTTTATGCAAATTTCGAGATAAATACATATATATATATATATATATATATATATATATATATATATATATATATATATATATATATATACACGTTTGTATTCGTTTATATGTGTTTGTGAATGTATCTACATCTGAAGAGATGTTTGAAAACTCTCGGCTTGACCCATTTCCCGAAATCTTTATATCAATAACCAAACACCAGAATACTGATTTTGGGAAGTGGGTTGTGCCGAGGACTTTTCAGCAACTACTTATTTATATACCCCTATGTTGAGTTCGAAGGTGCTGGTGAGTATGTCTTTGTACACACACACACACACACACACACACACACACACACACACACACACACACAAGACTTTTCCAGCTAAAATCTCAGATAAATTCACCCTATTTATTACACAGAGAGATAAAATTATTCCCTAAGATAAAATTTAGCCTTTACAAACGTAGAGGGTCAGAATTCTTACTCTCTCTCTCTCTCTCTCTCTTTCTCTCACTCTCTGTCTATCACACACATGCTCACATATATATGGAGATGTATATGCACAGACATAACTGCCTGCTTTTCTAGTTTCGCAGACCATTAAGAGTGTTGCGATTTAAATGATCAAAGAGTTCTCCCTCCCAACCTAGTGGCCTTGTAGCAGGTTAACTTAAGTCTAGGAAAAAAACTGTTCCTATTAAATGCTGTAAAACGTTAAACATTAACTTTTTTTTCTTAAGCATTTCACCCCAAGCAAGGCTGGAAGCCACTAGCACGCAAGGATTTGGAGCGAGAGCAGATAGGAGTGATAGAGGAAAGGATGAGGGGAAGGATAGTGGATAGATCAAGGCAACTGGAGATGTCGATTGACATTACACCTGATTAGTTGGAGATTATAGCTCTCAGGGAAACAGGAAAAGGGAAGGGATTTCCACAAGCGAAAGGTGCGAGATATGAAGCTATTGGAGTAGAAGAGATGGCTACATTTAGTAGTTTTGACAGTGAAAGGGTGAGAGCGGGATGCCAGCGAAAGCAGCTCATCGGAGCAGTTACCCTGAAAGTATTTGTAAAAAAGACAGAGAGAGGCGACGGCGCTTCTGTGAGAGAGCGAATGCAGATGAGATGCCAGATCAGGGCCAATTACATTGCATATCCGCCTTTGGATTTTATCAAGAACGCCGAGGCAAACAGAAGGGGCTCCAGATCATATATGGCAGCAATACTCCATGCAAGGGCAAATTGTTGATTTGTAGATCTGAAGGATCGATTCCGGGGAGAAAAATTTCCTGGCGCGGCACAGGGAGCCAACATTCCTTGCGGTGGACGAAGCAATTGAGTCAATGTTTTTGTTCCATCTTAGGTCAGCAGACAATGTGAGACCGAGCAGCCCCAGTGAGGTGCTCTTGGGAAGTTGAGCGTCAGACATTCTAATGGGGGCAGGGAAGGATCTAAGCTAAGCTTAGTGAATATATTTTCATGTTTGTCAAGTGTTGTAAACTGTTACTGCTGTAGTGCATTCGAGCCTCGCTGTGCGGCTATTGAGTGAAAAAATCAATCACACAATTCAGTTCGTTTGTGTAATGAAGTTGATTATTACGTTATACCTTTTAAGGGTCACTCATTACTGGGTTGGCCACACCCGTGAATTTGCGAGAAGCAAAGTGGACAAGGGGATAAATTTATAGCCAGGATGCTGGACAGAGTGGTAATTTAAGGAAGATAGCCAGAGCGACATTGTGCGGGCATAGACACACGTGGTAATGCGCTTTTCAATTGCCCTTAGTGGATTAGTGCTGCAAAAAAACGTTAATCTTGTTACTGACCCACCTTCAACGCTGGTAGCGTTAAGTCAATCGACCTTAAGTGATTATCGTATCTGATAACCATTGAATACAACAGTGATCTAAATTATTAGGTGACGGAACATCATACCCGATTTTAGAATAACCTTTTTAATCGTTATCTGTCAGTATCTCTGGGATGAGGTATTATGATTACTTGCATGATTTACATTAGTCGGACTGTTATCCTCATGTTCATTGCTATATTTACAGCGTTTCGGCCGATGTATGTAAGGTAAGACTACAAGACTCATCGTAAAGTGGTAACACGAGGGGAAATAGAAACATCAGGTGTAGCTGACCACATATAATGGGAAAAGGGAGAGCATTACTGGAAAATACGAAAACTTAAGAAATCTCCACATATGCTAGGCCACAAACATCTCCTGAGCCGACCAAACATAGAAATGAATACAATATGGGAACAAGAAATAAGGAGTGCTACAAAAAGCAACGAAAAACAACAAAAATTGCAATATAAGCTCTGGTTATAAAAGCAATAATAATAACACCAGATAAATTGCAATATGAACATTGGTAAAAAAATAGACATTAGGTTTATAAGTTCCCAAACTTCAAGCACAGATGTCCTCAAGCACATATGATTCAGTGGTTAAAGACATTGATTAGATCCAGTAAAGTTTTGTGAGTTAAATACCAGGCCACAGCAGTGATGAATCAAAACCTGGAGAATTGAGATAAAGAGATATAACTGGAAGAGGTATGGCACGTGGAACTAGAAAAAATCTACTCCGATAGACGAAATAGAAGGTTCGGTTCGAAATTCAAGTCACCTGAAGCGTTGTGAATATGACAATGAAGATGAGGGTATCCGTTCGAATAATGTAAATAATGCTGTGTTGTAAAATATTATTGTAATAGTTGCACAAAAATGTATTACTCATTCTTAATGATTAAAGTGTCCTCTTCTTTAATTTTATATCAACCTCTTTCAAAATTAACTTAAAACATTATATAACCCTTATCTTGAACATTATAAAAAGGAGAGATGCGTTTGTTTGTTTTTTTTTTCATGAGTTCAAGCTTTGTCATAATGCTTCTTAAATTGCTACCAACATTAACAGATCATGTGGTAAAGAATCCACTTGTGATCGGACGGTAAGGCGCTGGTTTATGAAGTCCCGCAGTGGGGATACGAGTCTTGAAAATCAAGGTGATAGATGATAGATGACGTCTATCTACAATCAACAATCTCCCTTTGAAAATACTAGTCGAACAAAACCCAAATGTTAGAGAAATGTCTTAGATAATGGTATCAGCATTTAAAAAATATCGAACCATCTGAAGAAAATTGGCAAACTGAAGAAACTCGACAAGTGGGCTCCACATGAACTCAGTGAAAGTCAAAGTGTTCGACATTTAGAAACTGCGAAATTCAATGATCCATTTCTTGATCGAACAGTGATAAGAAATGGACCCTTTATGACAACAGTAAACGATCGACTGAAGGGCTTGATCATGAAGAAGGACCCACTTTCCAAAACCGAAATTGCGCCAAGAGAATATTATATTGACTGTCTGGTGATCCACTGGCGTTATTCATTATAGCTTTTGGGAATCTAACCAGAGAATCACCGCCCGGGTTTACTGCCAGCAACTGGATTAAATGCACATTCGGTTAAGCAAGGTGCGACCAGCACTGTTCCAATTCTACTTCAAGAAAATGTTCGGCCACACGTTACCAGTTCAAATGCTCCCCGATGTGAGATACAAGACTTTGCCACATCAATCATATTCCCCTGATCTCTCAACCGGCTACCACTTTTTTGAGTAACTTAATGTTTTAAACCAAAAGACATTCCATTGAAAAGAAGATACAGAATTTTACATCCAAATCTTTTGAGTTTCATTATAAAGGCATAAATAAACTTGTAACTCGACGGCAGAAATGTATAGATGTTCAGAACTCCTATTTTGACTAATTTAGTATAGCTACCTACTCGTATTTGAGGATATCCGTCTACTATGGAAGTTAGCCAATCCCTATTGCAGAAGCTTGCTAGGGCGCATTTTGTGTTAATTCAAAACCCACAGAGCCCGCCTGTGGTTTATACTGCAACTATGCTGAGCAGACCTTAGTTACAGTTTCTGGAAAAGAGCGTGTTATCTCCCGTGATCAACCATTTGAACAAGGCCAGCACGCTCAAACCCTCAACCACGATGACATGTGACTTCGTGCTTGCCAATTTCTCTCTACCCAATATCAATAACTTAGGTTAACCTGTGGTATGGTTTTTAGGCATCAAAGGTGCCGCACACTGGGATCGATCCCTTCAGTCCGATAACATCTGTCGGACAAATCGACCATGGTCACATTCGAACCCGGGTCTCATGGTCAGAATGCGAGCATTCTAACCACTCGGCCACGTGCTGCTATTGACTAATTTAAACACTGTTCAAATTTTAAATGAATCAATTCCGAAATAAACGTTGATTCTAAAATCCGACATGATTTTCAGACCAAACATTCTTAGAAATTCACAAATAATAAAGGGGAAGCCGTAGAGAATTGTACAGTCATGTCTTTCCCAAGGTCTTTACTTTAAAGGGACTTGTTGGATATCAACCATAATTGGGGGGGGGGCTCAAAGTGCAAGATAAAACGAGAGTAAAATTTATATCTTTTGTTACTAACTTCAATCAAGATGGTCAGAATTTCGCATATATGAGGTCTGTCTGAAATGTGAAGGGACTTATACGCTCTTCGATGTGAGTGGCATCGACCACAGTGAGTACTCGCCACAGGGCCAGACGATCAATCAGCAAGTCTTCAGAGATCCTGCGGTGTTTGCTTCACACAGTGCACTAGAAGAAACGAGAGTTGTGTGACAGGACAAAGCGTGATTGCTTCACTACGACAATGCATCTGCTCACAGCGCCCTGAGCATCCGGTAGTTCTGACCGAGAAGAACATCGTCGTACTGGAATAACTTCCCTATTCACCTGATTATTGCTCCGTGTGAATTTTTTCCTTCCCCCAAGATCAGGAGGATCATCAAGGGGACCCATTTTGAAGGCGTGGAAGTCATCAAGAGGGCTGTAACGACGGAGCTGAGCGGCATTCAAGAAGAATCCTTCCAGCAGTACACAGAAGCGTGGCAGAGAAGGGTGGAAAAGTGCATTAAATTCGAGGGGTTTATCTTGAAGTGGGGACCATGTACTTGGTTGTTTGAAATTGAAATAATGTCTTTTTGACACCAGTCCCGTTACTTTCCAGACAGACCTCGTAGAATAACACTGTATTGAGATACACACCCGGAGCTGGGTGTCATTCAAATGCCCCTAGTATTTCCTTGTAATGGGCAACCGTCGGATTTTTTTCTGATCTAATTTTAAATTGACTTTGTGTCAGACTAAGTAAATACTAGTAAATAAGAAGTTCCATCCTCAATTAGTACTATAAACTTGTAGTCCTGCTCTAAGTCAATCTTAGTAAATATTCTGTTGCCAGCTTCTTGGCTGAAGTAGTTAGGCCTTCAACACAGAAGTTGCTGTTCAAGCCCATTTGAATGCAATCATTTTGAATGCTGATTTTCTAGACTGGCAACTTTTGGCACATTAGAAAATATTCATAATTCCAATTTCTTGATCATTTTTTACGGTTTATCAACTCTTTGTGAGTTATTTAAATCCGAAACATATTCTGTATTGTAAGAATAATACTTTTTTGTGAATGAATATTACATCAACAATTTCTTTTTTGTAAAATACTAATGATTTTCCAGTACAAGTCCTACTATTGAGTGACGAGCCTTGTGCCACACTTAGCTATATATATATATATATATATATATACTTAGTAAATATTAAGAATATACAGATTGGCTCCAATGACAGAATACAAGCACTAGCCAGTTTGGTTTGAGAATTCTTCTTTTTCTTTGTGTAACAAACAACTAAAAGAATTCCTGCCAAGAATGGAGAAAACGTCTTTGAGGATATTTTTAGGTGTTTTTTTCGTGTTTGTCGTAGGCGCTGAGTTGAAGAAACATGGACTTCACAAGTCGAGTGAAGATAGTGCGTTCATTGGAGAAAAATTGCCCGGTCAAAACATGATGAATCTTCTGGAACAATCTATTTATAGTCCATTGTGCAGAAATATTTATTAGAACCAAATGGGGATTTTTTTTTCGCTTCAAAAGAGCACGAAATAAATAAATAAATAAAACGAGATATTTTTTTTAGCAGAGACGAACTTATGGATCTAGATTGCGTACATAGGCAGAAAAGAAAACGCACCGAGGCCCCAAAACCTAAATGAATAAACAGAAGCAATGTCTAAAGCAAAGAATTAAATAAACCCTTTAAACCCAACTTGTTACATATGAGAATTGCCGTATTTTCCGGCTTACAAGACGCTGCGGCATGGAAGACGCACCCTAATATTGGAAAGAAAGTTCAAAGAAAAAAAAGTCATTCTCATACAACAACATATTCATCATGCGTCCCTCACATACTGGCGCCACTTATTGTTTAGATTAATTAATCGTCCGATTTTGTTTGTATGGCAATGATATACTAATCAAGAGCAGAAAGCCTCCCGCCGCTGCTAAGTAAACAGTCCATGTTTAAGCTTGTGGATCGGCTCCAGGAAGGTTTATAGTCTTGGAAATACTTGTAACAGCTAAGTACTGAGGTTACATAATACAAAAAGGCTGAATTAGATAGCTAGCTAGCATTATAGTGTAATGAATTAACATACAAATCCACATCCCTATCAGTTAAGCCAATAAGGTAACAGTTCAAGCTTACTTGAGCCTGGGCGTTGCTTTACATTCGTCTTGGAAGATGCACACGTATTTTTTAGGAAAAAGATGCGTCTTTCAAACTGGAAAATACAGTGTATATATACTATACATCTTTTATTGTGTAAAGTTGGTTTTAAATCGTTTTGATGAACTGGCCATGGGTAAAAATTTCCAGGACAAAAAAAGCTTGTAATATGTGTGACAGCCTGCTGGTAACTGATATTTTCACGGCATAAGAGTGAGAGCAAACCTACACCATCAAGATCAAAATCAGAAATGCTCCCGCCTCTGCTAGTAAACAGAGCATGTTTATTCTTGTGGCTCGGCTCCAGGAAGGTTTATATTCTTGCAATTTACTTGTAACAGCTAAGTACTAAAAGGCTGAATTAGATAGATAGCTAATATTATAGTGTAATGACTCAACAGACAAATCCACGTCCCTATTAAGCCAATTAGGTGACTGTCCAAGCTTACTTGAGCTTGGGCGTTGCCTTACATTCGTTTTGGAAGACGAACACCTATTTTTCAGGGTATTTTTTAGGAAAAAAAAAGTGCGTCTTGTAAGTCGGAAAATACCGTAACAGGTTTCGCTGAATTTGGTTCAATGATATTCATCATGAACATCTGATTTAGAGATCAACGTTACTTCAGCTTAAACTTAGAAACCGGATGTAAACACTGAATTTCTGGGATGAGGAATTATCATTATTTACATTAGTTAGTCGGCCATGAGAACCAGGTTCAAATCTCACTATGGTCGTCTTGTCAAAAATGTGATTCCTTGATAATATCGTCTTG